TAACCTGGGCGTTTGGCTTGAACAATGTAGTGAGGCGGGAGTGCGGAGAACGACTTTTTTGACAAGTGATTCAACGGATGAGACAATTTAATTGAGGCATATTTGCACTCATACCCGATCAAATTGGATCAATTGACAAAACACATTCCCAACTCACAAGCCCTTCCCTTCATTTCCGAATCGAATACACATTTGCCAGGGAAATTCGTAATGAATACCCATCACGGATTTCAGGCATTGCAGAAAGGGTTTTACAAGTGGTCTGGTCTAGTTGAACGTGTCAGGTCTAAATTTGCGGAATGTTTGGCGATACATTCAAGCCTCTGAATACCAAAAGACGATTACGTGCCCGTTTCGACAGTAAAAACATCCAAAGCCTATCTTCCGGCAGTAACAGCACCAGAGAGATCAAGGGATTGTTACACGAAGGGAGTGTTACCGAAGGTGTTGGAAAATGCGGTGCACGAAATGCCGTTTATCGCACACCCAGAGGATACTAATACAACTGAGTGTCACATGGAGAGACAAAACAGATTGTGTTCACGAATTTGCTAAACCAATTTCTCCTCGAACTTGTGACCTTGGGAGTGCGAAATGCTATCAATCAAACCCAGGGCAAATGATGAGATCATCCCAGTGACTACAAGACCCACAACTTTCTTCATCACTCAACGCTGAGATAAAAGTTCAATCAGCATCCGGACTGTCTGAAGTCTGGAAACGTGCCGTTCACAAAAGATAGCTGGCTTTAATTCGTGGACAATGTAGAATACCTTTGCACTCATTTAAGTCCATCTCTTCAGTAGAGCCCGGAAATCTCCAATTGGGTACGATTCCGGATTGTGTGTTCGACAGTGGACGGTCTTTGTGTTGTTCCGTTGGATCCACGACATTCTATAAGGTGAGGTGGGATCCGTGGATAGAAGCATTGATGTGTTAGAAAATCACTGCTCTCAATCGATTTTCTGAAATCGTTGATAGAACGAACCCATTGGGATTTCCATCGTGGGTTGCCATCTGAGACTTACACATGCAAATCGGGACCGTGTAGGAACCCAGCCGTGCACTCGATGACTGAAAGCTAACTTGTCCTTACACAGAATACGCCAGTAGTACTCGAGTCCATGAGGAACGTCAAAGTGAAACATTTTTTTGACTCTGTACATAACACCGTTTTATT